ACATGGTGACACCCTGTCTCTACTAAAAACACACAAAAAATTAGCCAGGCATGGTGGCACATGCCTGTAGTCCCAGTTATTCTACTTGGGAGGCCTGTAGTCCCAGTTATTCTACTCTAGTCCCAGCTACTCTACTTGGGAGGCTGAGGCAGGAGAATCACTTGAACTTGGGAGGCGGAGGTTGCAGTGAGCCGAGATCACACCACTGCACTCCAGCCTGGGCAACAGAGTAAGACTGTCTCAAAAACAAAACAAAACAACAAACAAACAAACAAACCAAAAAAAAAAAAAAAAAAAAAAAAAAAAAAAAAAAAAAAAAAAAAAAGTCCCAGTTATTCTACTCAGTCCCAGCTACTACTTGGGGAGGCTGAGGCAGGAGAATTCATTGAACTGGGAGGCGAGGCTGCAGTGAGCTTGTGATCACACCTTCACTGCACTCAGCCTGGGCACAGAGGTGAGATTGCCCAAAAACAAATGAAGCCTAACAAATAAACAAACAAGTTTTGTTATAAAAAAAAAAAAAAAAAAAAAAAAAAAAAAAAAAAAAAAAAGAAAGAAAGAAAAGAAAGAAGAAAACTGAACTCACCGGAACCAAAGGGGTGTCTTCTATAGGAAACTTGGAATCAACTGAGACACACAAAGGCTCATTTTTCTCATAGCTCTGCTGGCTGATGAGTGTGTCTGCATAGTTGGGTTGGGGGAAGATCAGGTGGCTCTTCCTTGAGTCAGCAGTGAGGGAGAACTCCTGAGAATAGGTCTGTAGGAAAGCTCTAACCCCATCTACACCCACAAAGTGTGAGGTGGGCACACCAGCCAACCCATCACTTGTAGCCCGCAGCAGACGTGAGGCATGCCAGTGCCTCAGCCTGAGGGCCAGCAGCATGATAACGAAGGTGAGGAAGACACAGGAGACCACTGTGACAGCCACAACGAGGTAGAGGGTAAGGTCTGAGGCCTCCAGGTCTGCAGGGATCTGAAGACTGCCCAGGTCAGCCAGGATGTCTGGGATGCTGTCAGCTATGGCTACTGTAAGCGTGACAGTCGTGGAGAGAGGGGGCTGGCCATGGTCCTGTACAGCCACCACAAGGCTCTGTTTGAGCACATCTCTATCTAGCAGGGCCCGAGCTGTGCGCACTTCACCTGTGTGCAGCCCCACCGAGAAGAGCCCTGGCTCACTGGCCTTGAATAAGCGGTAGGACAGCCAAGCATTCTGGCCTGAGTCTCTGTCCACTGCCACCACCTTGGTCACCAGGTAGCCGGGCTCTGCAGAGCGGGGTGCCAGCTCCACACCAGTAGAACCATCAGTGGGGAGGGCGGGGTACAGGATTTCCGGGGCATTGTCGTTCTGGTCCAAAACAAATAGTCTCAATGACACATTGCTGCTAAGTGGTGGGTTTCCACTGTCACTTGCCCTCACCTGCATTTGCAAATCTCTAAACTGCTCATAGTCAAAGGAGCACAGAGCATACAGCACGCCAGTCTCTGAGTTAATAGAGACATAGGTGGAGAGAGGAGATCCTTGGATGATATCCTCTGCCAAGGAGTAAATAACTCTAGAATTCTCATTGCTATCAGGGTCATAGGCGATCACCGAGAAGATGGAAGTACCTCTGGCGTTGTTTTCCGGGAGGTAGACTGAGTAGGAGGCTTGAGAGAAGGCAGGTGGATTATCATTGATGTCAGTCACTTGCAGAGTGATGTGAATTTCTGTGGACAGGGGCGGAGTTCCTCTGTCTGTTGCAGTCACCGTGATATTATATTCTGAGGCTTTTTCTCGGTCAAGAATTTGGGCCGTCAACAATCTATAATAATCTTCTTCTGAATTTTCTAATTTAAAAGATAGATTCTCCTGGATAGAACAGACAACTTGACCATTCTTCCCCGAGTCTCGGTCATGAGCATTGAAAAGAAGAATTACTGTTCCCTGAGGTGCATCTTCTCTCACTGGGCTAAACAGAGATGTAATGGTCACTTCAGGTCTATTGTCATTTACATCTTCCACTGAAATGAGCACTTTTGTCCACCCTTTCAATCCCCCACCATCTTCAGCTTGTATTTCCATTTCATAAAATGAACATTCTTCATAATCTAGACTTTTTGCTATTGATATTTCCCCAGTATTTTCATTAAGCTGGAATAACAGAGATTGTTTTTCATTAATTTTCCAGAATTTGTATGCCACTTTTCCGTTGATTCCCTCATCCAGGTCGCTGGCTGTTGCAGTAAGCAGCCAGGTGCCTGGGGGCACGTTTTCAAGGACTTTCACTCTGTAAATCGGTTGAGCAAAAACAGGGGCATTATCATTTGTATCCAATACTGTCACATGGATGCGCACGGTGCTGGAACGACGAGGCTCGCCGCCATCTGAGGCCGTGAGGACCAGGTGGTGAGCAGCCGCCTCCTCCCTGTCCAGGGCTCGCTCCAGCACCAGCTCTGGGTTTATGGCTCCATTGTCTCCAGTCTGCACGTTCAGGGAGAAGTGGTGATTGGGGCTGAGCTGGTAGCTCTGGAGGGAGTTCACACCCACATCCGGGTCAACAGCTTCTGGGAGTGGATAACGTGCTCCAGGAACCGCGACTTCGTTAATTTTTACTTCCAGACTTTCCGCCTGGAATTTTGGGGCACTGTCGTTAATATCAGTTACTTCTATTTCTATTCCGTACAATTTCACTCTGTCTTCAACCAGGACTTTAAAATTCACCAGACACCGCGAGCTCTGGGCACACAGCTCCTCCCGGTCTATCCTACCCGCGGTGACCAAGCTGCCGCTGCGCAGGTTCAGAGAGAAAAGCTGCGTCCTACCTCTGGAGACGATGCGTACTCCGCGCTCCGCCAGCTCCCCGGGCTCCAGAGCCAGGTCCTTGGAGATGTTGCCCACAATATAGCCCTTTTCTGTCTCTTCAGGCACTGAGTAGCGAATCTGACTGGCCCTGGCCTCCCATAGCATCCCCAGGAGCGAGCATAGCAGGACTAATCTTCCGCGGAGCTGGCATTTGGTTGGAGCTGCCATTGCTGCCTTGCTTTGGAATTTTCTCAAAATACTCTCTGTGCGCGCTGCTTCATCAGGTTCTTTCTTCCCTCCTGCGAAGTATGGTGATCCTTTTCCTTAGGAGAAAGCCAGAGTGCCCTAAGTTAAGAGGCTGAGTTTTGCTGCAGTCTGGGAGCAGGTTTGTGGGATCTGCCGGGTTTTGTGTAGTCACATAACTGGAAGTCCGGTTGGAGTCCTGATTTTTGCTTAGAGTTGATCAACAGCGGCGCTCAGAGTCCTAAGTCCTTACTACACTCACTGATGTGTAACAGATGGCTAATAGAGAAAACACTACTCTTTTCTAATTATGATTTTAGATTTCTCCAATTGTTTCTTGCATTTGTATTTCAAAAGCAATCTATTTTTTAGATATCTGAGTTGTAAATAAAGTGGAATAAAATTTCCGTGTGTAATTAAATCACAAACCATCGCTTAATATTACTCTTATTCTTGGTAGAATTTTGCACTCTATTTCTAGATATGTAAATTATTATAATTTCTTTTTTGTGATGCTTCAATTTTTTCTGTACATCAACAATTTTCTGAAGTAATTTTTATGTTCAATCTTGTTTGGAAATACATTCATTTTTAATTTTTATACCTATATTATATATTTGTAAATGTAAAATATATGATTGTATTGAATACATATATAAGGATACATTATCCACTTTGAAATTATTTTCTGGGGTTAATTTATTTTGGTGGTAAAATTCCTGGAAAAACGTTTCTTTTAAATTTTTGTGTTATAAAAGTAATGTTAATTCAGCAATAGTTACAGATGTTCTCACCTAATATTGCTAAATAGGGACAGGATTAAAGTTTTTTGGAAATTTTTACATTTTTGTGATTGCTTAAACTTTTCTGCTATTTCAAAAAATACTTAATTTTTTAATGTGAATACGTAATGCATGCACAGACTGTGTTTCAATGATTCAAATGCATGTACACTGAAAAGCAAGTTTCTATTTTAATCCTCCATCAATAAATTATGCAATTTTAAAGTGGTTTTAAACATTATTCTAAGGGTCATTTAAACTTATATAATAATTTGGGAAAAAGAACACAAAATATACAACAAAGAAAACTACTGAAAGGTTAAAAATAACTGGTAACGCTGAAATCTCAGCGTTTACTGAATCACATACTAAGGGAAACCAAGCAAAATACTTATACCATGTAATGGGAGCTTTGTATGTACACAAGACTAGTAGTTTTTGTCTTAAAAATGGAATAATTCTGCATTCTCCTTCTTTCCTACGAGGATGTTGAGAAAACATCCAGTCATTTATAGTTAGAGCTCCAAACGACAAGACAAATCCGGTGTGTTTTCCCCCTTCTTCAAGAATATATGTCAGGATTCCAAGCAAGAGAAATTCAGGCAATAGCATTTCCTTTTCTTGTAAGTTTCCTCTGGTGATTATATAGAGGTAGAGAAGGATTTTGCATCCAAGAAAACCTGGATAAACTTAGAAATGATTAGGATGATTCGGACCTTCTAAGTTCAGTGAATCAGTCTCTCTCTTTCTCTCGCATACACGTAACATATAGTCTTCTTCTTCTTCTTCCTCTTCCTCCTCCTCCTCCTCCTCCTCCTCTTCTTCTTCTTCTTCTTCTTCTTCTCCTCCTTCTCCTCCTTCTCCTCCTCCTCCTCCTCCTCCTCCTCCTCCTTCTCCTCCTCCTCCTCCTCCTTCTGCTTCTTTTTTTTGAGATGGAGTTTCGCTCTTGGAGAGATCTCAGCTCACCACAACATCTGCCTCCCAGGTTCAAGCAATTCTCCTGCCTTAGCCTCCTGAGTAGCTGGGATTACAGGCACCTGCCACCACACCCAGCTAATTTTTGTATTTTTAGTAGAAACGGGGTTTCACCATGTTGGCCAGGCTGGTCTTGAACTCCTGACCCCGTGATCCACCCGCCTCGGCCTCGGCCTCCCAAAGTGCTGGGATTACAGGCATGAGCCACTGCACCCGGCCAACATATAGTATTTTTAATTAAATTTTAGGAGATTCAAAAATCATAAATCCATTAGGTAGGAATAAGAAAGTATATATGAGGAACATGAGAAAGATGGAAACTACCAGTGAAATCAGTGAAGAAAGACAACTACTAGCAGTTTCTTTGCTTTGAAAGATGAATTAAATGATTACATACATTAAATATTTATCTACAGATAATAAAATATAAACATGTTAAAGAATGAGACAATCAATGGGTAAAAGCTAATTTCGTTAGCTTTGAGAAAGAGGACAAAAAAACCAAATGTTTTTGCTAGCTAGGATGCTAAAAACAAACTCTCACTACTTTGTAAACCTATAAGCCTACTTCTTTTATGTGACATAACAACTCACAATTCACTGCTCCTCTTAAAGAATGGTTGGACAGCTTTTCTGAGCAGCTACAACTTTCCTAAGACAACTCATTAGACCTGAAAATGTACGGTATTTTCATGTAAATACAGAAAATTGGGTGGGTAATGAAAAAGAATAGACATAAATAAAACTCACCAACTCAGGATGGGAAGTCGACTCACTGGAATTACAAAGTGGAAATAAGGCCCCAGATGAATCACCGCAAAGTATGTCTTGTCCTGAACTCAACTGTTCACTACATTTTAGGAAATTAAACTCCGTCTTTCCTGTATGTGCAACACATAGGTTGTAGGAATAAGGCAACGTCCCCTCGCTGTAGTTGGGGGGAACCACAGGTCCAGACTTGACACAGAGACCTGGTTGGAAGCAGCTCCAGGCGGCGGGGCTGGAGGAGCGTCGCAGGCGCAAGGCAATGGCCAGAATCATGGCCAGGAGGAAGAGTACTGAGATCAAGGCCAAGGCCACCACTAGGTAAAACTGCAGCTCAGCCTGGGGCCAGAGGGTACAGGGCGGTCAGTGATATCCGGCAGCACCTCCTGCAAGCTGTCGGCAAAGACCAAGTGCAGCGTGACGGTGGCGGAGAGTGGCGGTTGTCCACCATCACGCACAGCGGCCAACAGGCGCTGTCGGGCGCGTCCCTGTCGCCCAAGGCACGCGCCGTCGCCACCTCTCCACGTCTTTGCCAGCCCCAGGCCTGAAGAGCCCGGGCTCGCTAGCCTGCAGCACGTGGTGGGACAGCCAGGCGGGTGTGTCCTGAGGTCTCGTCCACCGCCACACCACCTTGGTCACCAGGTAGCCGGGCTCTGCAGCCGCCGCACCATATCGCGCAGAGCGTCGGGGACCCAGCGCGAGGCGCTCTAGGCGCATTATCGTTGCGGTCGCCCACCAGCACGCGCAGGCTCACGTTCGCGCTGGCTCAGGGCGAGCCTGATCGCGAGCCTGCAGTGTGAGTTCGACGCAGCTGCTCGTAGTCAAGGCGCGCTGCGCGAACACCACCCCACTTCGGCTCAGATGCATGAGGTAGTGCCAGAGGCTCTAGGTGGCTGGCCATGATGGAGTAGGAGACTTGGCCATTCAACCCCAAGTCCGGGTCCGAGGCGCAGACTTTCGCGATGGAGGCCCCAGAGAGGTTGTTTGACTACACTGACTAAGTAGGACGCCTGGTGGAAAACCGGAGCGTTGTCGTTGGCCCCGTCAGCTGATATGCAGGATGACGCTTATGCTGGAGGAGAGGCGGCTTGCCCCTGTCTGTGGCTGTGATGGTGGCGTTGTACTCCGAGTCTGCTCGGTCTAGGGTTCCATCTGTTACCAACTTATCACAATTTTTGGACGAAGAGATAATCTTGAAAGGGACGCATTGTTGACAGCTTTATTTACAGTCTGGTCATGTATTTTGATCAAAGCAATTAGTGTTCAGGCACCGCGTTTTCCAGAATCATCTCAGAGTAGAGGCTGGAATGTAACTTCTGGGCTATTGTCATTTCATCTTGAATATTAATTTCAACTGTACATTGTGCAACCAGTCCACCACCATCCCTCCCTTCTACTATCATTGAATATTCCTTGGTTTCTTCAAAAATCAGTTTCTTTTGGAGTGGTAATTTCCCGCTCTTTGAATTCAGACCAAAGATTTGCCGGGTTCTGTAGAAGGAATCAGTAATTTCTGAGTTGATGCCTCGTCTTGGTGGTGGCTGACACTTGCAACACAGTGGTGCCTGGTGTACGTTTTCCCGAAGAGCTGACTCTGTACACATCCGGTTAGACTACCGGGGGATTATCGTGGCATCAGTTACCTGGATACGGAGCTCAGTGGTGCCGCTTAGGGGTGGATCTCCACCGTCCAAGGTGATCAGGACTAAGCAGTGGTAACTCTCTTGTTCCCGGTCTAGGTTTTCCAAGTACCAGTTCCGAGGTGTTATTTACTACCATCTTGCTTCTGTAATTATTAATGAGAAACTTGGGTCAAGAGAGAGAGTTTATATTCTGTAGAGTTTAAGCCAGTATCTGCATCTTCTGCTACTTCTAATATAAATCGTGTGCCAGGCTATTGCAGACTCACTTATTTGCAGCTCAAAGGAATTTTTGCGTGAATGTTGGCGTGTGGTCATTCAATGTCCTCGATCTCACATTCACGTGATAAAAGTTCAGTGGATTTGCACAACAACAACCTCAAATTCCAGAGCACAAGCTGGATTCTTCCCGCGCCATCTCCTCCTGTCTAGCCTGCTGTTCACAAGCAACTCCTCTCTCTAAGCTCCACGGTGGAAGTGGAGGCTTCTCGAACCCCAACGCAGTTTTGAGTCGGTAACTCCTGGACGCTGAACCCCAGGTCGGTGGCGAGGATTCCCCTCACGAAGCCCTTGGGCATTTCCTCGGGAATCCTGTAGCAGATCTGCTCACAGAGCGCCGGGCAGAACAAAAGCAGCAGGAAGAGAAAGAGCATTGGCAGCCTCTCAGCCCGGCCCAGCTCTGGCCTTACATCCCCATCTCTCTTGCTCTCCTCCCAGCTTGCTCACCAGCCTGGAGACGCGGGTTACAAATAACCTCTTTATTGCAGATTTTTCGGATCTCCGAGAACGGACTTTAGTTCAGTTCAGTTCAGGAAAAGATTCTTCTTTTCCGAGGAGGACGGTGCAAAGGCTGGCGCTGGGGAGTCTACAGACCGGAGGCTGCCCTGGAAGCGTTCAAGCTCTTGTGAGGAGGCTGGAGTAAGCTCTCCCACTTTGGCCAACAGGCGCGCCAAGTCAGCACTCAAAACTACAGCCTCTGCCTTCAGTTTAACCAGTGCAGTAATTGTATTTGAGGGCCTAACTTAACAGTAGTTTTTAAGTTCATATGTTTAATAACAAATTATAACACACTCTTTAAGGCGCTCTTTCTCTGTTTTCCAAATTGTTAGAAATATCACGTTGGGTTTTTATGCAAACCTGCATACATTGGTCCATTCTTTCACCATTCTGCAAACATACCTTGAACTCTTAGCTAGAACTAAGTATTGCCCTTGTCACTGCAATATAATAATTAACATGTTACAGTTCTTGCTCTCAGAGGAAACTTCATAATATGTGATTTCAAAATTGATTTTTATTAGCTATGGCGTGTGGAAACACTTTTATCATTCTTCTGTTCATTTATATGATTTCCGACCCCCCAATATTTCTACTGTTTTATATTACACATATTAGGGAAATCTATACTATTTAAAGCTATTTTTTTTTAAAGTTGTGGCAATTTTGTACCAATCCCCAAACATCTCCTCTTCCTGACAATATTAACATTCTTTATAAAAATAATTTTTCTTTACTCTTCTACTTCACAAATATTACTTCAGATATACTTACATATGATGCAATGAAATGATATACCCTACTACATTGCTCTTCTTCATATCTCAAAATACTTGTCTTATGTCATATCTTTTACAGTACATAAATTCATTCTTAAGGATTACTGTAGGAAATGCTTATCTGTTCTGCAATACAAGGTAGAAACGGATATTCTAGTGGATTGCATTATTGTCTATCTCGTACCATCACTGTAGTGAAGAAGTGACTTTGGAATTGGATAAATGAAGCTCATAAGTTTGTTTACATAAATTTATGGAATATAGTGACATTGGTCAACCTTGCTAGTCCATTTGTCAGATTAATAAAAACAACAGCTAACATTTTTAGGTAGAGTAAGGATTTCTTTCCTACCAGGGCAACTTTCATCACAGTTTTTTAAATTGCAAAGTGCCAATAATATGTTGCTATCTACAAATGTGCATCCAAATGGTACACAAACTATGAAGTTAACTCCCACTCCACTGAATATGCACCATACAGTAGAGACACTACCATACACAATCCTTAGGAAATGTCCTTTTCATTAATAACAAACATTTATTGGGTCATCTACTTCTACCTTACATCAATCAATTCAGAGAGTTAACTGTTCAAATTCTACAAGAAGGTATGCAGGAATATAATAATGGGTAGCCTATACTGACTTTTTACTATTAATATTCTATTTTTTTTTTTTTTTGAGATGGAGTCTCGCCCTGTTGTCCAGGTTGGAGTGCAGTGACACAGTCATGGCTCACTGCAACCTCCGCCTGGGTTCAAGTGATTCTTTTGCCTCAGCCTCCCAAGTGGCGCTAGGACCACAGGCATGCCACCACGCCCAGATAATTTTTGTAATTTTTAGTAGAGACGGGGATTCACCATGTTGGCCAGGCTGATCTTGAACTCCTGACCTCGTGATCCACCCACCTCGGCCTCCCAAAGTGCTGGGAGTACAGGCGTGAGCCACCGTTACTTGACCTAATGTTAGTTTTTTTTTGAGACAGGGTCTAGTTCTGTCACTAGGCTGGAGTGCAGTGGCATGATCATAGCTCACTGCAGTTTCAAACCCCAGGGCTCAAGCTGTTCCCCTGCTCCAGGCTCCCTAAGTGCTGGGATTTCAGACATGAGCCACTGTGTCAGCCAAAGACTGAATAACCCAATTGATCAGCTTATTTAGAACTTGTACCTGAAGCATTGGTTCTTAAAATCAACATTCTCACCATTTCACGTCGATGCACAACCAAAACAGCTCATTAGAATTGTTGAAATATGTTCTTTCGTATTTTACAAAGTCACTTTCAATAGTTTAAAAGTCCATTTATTTCCAGATCTAATGTTTTAGCTTTTGTTTTTGTTTGAAGGCAATGGACATTCTGAGCTTTAGATTTCATGTCTCCATGGGCATGGAGCCCAGGTGACCACTGACACACATACTTAATATTTAGTAACCAGTCTCATCTCACCAGATCATCTTTAAAGTTTATTCCCATGTTTTGAAAGATGGTAAAGTATTAAAGTTTTGAAGGGGGCACTGGTACAGAAACAGGGCTCAGAAAAGAGGTTTAAAGTGAAAAAATCTACAAGAGCCTAGTTATAGGTTCAAATGCTAAACATAACCTAAAATTCTGAGATACATTTTACTTTTATTTAAAAGCTAATACGAGGCTTTAGACTTCTTGATAATTTTCTTAAGTTCTAGTTTAGGATACACACACACACACACACACACACATACACACACAAACAACTAGCAAATTACCATGGACAGATGATTATTCTTAAGTGAATGGTATTAATGGGAATAAAATACCAGAGCTTAAATGGTTCAACAATCATACCAAGTCGTTTAAAAACAAATAAGCAACTATGACTATTAGAGAGCTTAACTTTATAAGTAACACCAACAAAATAAACACAGAAACTCTGTGATACACACTTAAAAATTATTTTCAACTATCTTCACAATGTTTTTCAAAACATAATTTATGTAAAATAAAATTCATCTGGAAATTAAAAGCAAGCAAAACTAAACTCACCTGACGATCAGCTTCATTCTTACATTCGCGAAAATCTACGGATGTTAACAAAAGAATCCTTTTCTCACAGCTCGCCTGACTGATGAGCGTGTCTCTTTCGTGGTTGGGCTGGGAAAGATCAAGTGACTCTTCCTTGAGTGGTGAGGAGACAGGAATAGGTCTGGGGAAAGCCTGTACCTCCTCAGCACCTACAAAGCGTGAGGCAGAGCACACCACCAATCTGCCACCGGAACCTGAGACAGGCGTGAACTTGTGCCAGCGCCTCAGCCTGATCCCAGAAGCACAGCGACAAGGCAAGGAAGACACAGGAAGTGACGGCCGCCACCACGAGATAGAGTGTAAAAGGCTCGTATCGTTCGGGTCGACCGAGGCTTCAGACTGCCCAACTCGGTCAGGACTTGGGGGATGCTGTCAGCCGGCCACGGTGAGCGTGACAGTGGCGGAGAGAGGGGCCGTGGTCCTGGGCGGCCACCACGGGCTCTCGCTGGCCGTCTGTCCAGCAGGGCTCGCGCCGTGCGCACCACAGCGTGCATCCCCACCGCGAAGAGTGCAAGCTCGCTGGCCTTGAGCAAGCGGCGAGATAGCCAAGCGTTCTGGCCCGAGTCTCTGTCCGCCACCACCTTGGTCACCCAGGTAGCCAGGTTCTGCGGAGCGGGCGCCAGCTCACCGCCAGTGGCCCCGTCTGTGGGGAGGGCGGAATTTACAGGATCTGGGCGCGTTGTCATTCTGGTCCATACGAACAGGCTCAGTGACGTTGCTGCTGAGGCGGGTCCAGCACAATAAGCTGGCTATTACCAGTAGCTGCAAGTCTCGAGGATCTGCTCATAGTCGAAAGATTGCAGCGCATACAGGACACCGGTGTCAGAGTTGATGGAGATGTACGAGGATAGGGGCGCCCCTTGCAGCGTGTCCTCGGTCACAGAGTAAGTGACCTGGGCATTCTCACCAGCTTATCGGGAGTCGTGTGCAGTCAAAGGAGAAGATGGAAGCTCCTCTCAGGTTGTTCTCTAGGATATAAGCTGAGTAGAGCACGAGGGAATGTAGGAGGGTTATCGTTAATGTCTGCCACGTGCAGGAGGCGATGTGAGTTTCAGTGGACAGGCGGTGTTCCTAGATCTGAGCCATCACTGTGATATTGTAGATAGAGACATTTTCTCGGTCCAAATATTTCCTTGTCACTAATCTATAATAATTATCTATTGACTCTTCCTAATTTAAAGGTAAATTATCACGTGTGTAACAGACAACTTGACCATTCTTTCAGAGTCTTGATGTACACACTCCAAGAACGCAATTACTGTCCCGGAAGAGAAATTTTCTAACACTGGGCTAAACAAAGGCAGTAATGATCATACTGGTCTATTGTCATTACATCTTCCACCCGAAATGAACAATTTGGTCCTCCCCAGAAGTGCCCCCACATCTTCAGCTTGTATTTCCATTTCATAAACGACTATTCTTCATAATCTAGACTTTTGCTACTGATATTTCCCCAGTATTCTCATTAAGCTGGAATAACGATTTGTTTTCATTAATTTTCGAATTTGGCATGCCACTTTTCCGTTGATTCCCTCATCCGAATTCGCTGGCTGTTACAGTAAGCAGCCGCGTGCACTGGGGCACGTTCTCAGGACTTTCACTCTGTAAATCGGTTGAGCAAAAACCGGGGCGTTGTCATTTGTATCCAACACTGTCACATGAATGCGCATGTGCGGGCGGCGGCTTCGCCGCCATCTGGGGCCGTGAGGACCAGGTGGTGAGCAGCCTCTTCCTCCCTGTCCAGGGCGCGCTGCAGCACCAGCTCTGGGTTTATGACTCCATTGTCTCCAGTCTGCACGTCAAGAGGAGAAGTGGTGATTGGGGTTGAGCTGGTAGCTCTGGAGGGAGTTCACGCCCACATCCGGGTCAACAGCTTCTGGTAGTGGATAACGTGCTCCAGGAACCGCGATTTCGTTAATTTTTACTTCTAGATCTTCGACCCCATGAATTTCGGGTTATTATCGTTAATATCTATTATTTCTATTTCTATCCCAAAGAGTTTTCCTTTATCCTCAACCAGGATGTTAATATTTATCAGACACGCGGGCTCTGGCTGAGCTCCTCCGGTCTATCCTGCCAGCAGTGACCAAGCTGCCGCTGCGCGGTGATTGGAAGCAGAGCTGCGTCCTACTATCTGGAGGCAATCTGGACTCCATGCTTCGCCAGCTCCCGGGGTCCAGCCCCAGGTCATGGAGACATGCCACGAAGGAGCCTTTGTCCGTCTCTTCTGGCACGGTGGCGAATCTGTCCCCTCCCGGTTTCCCACAGCGTCCCCAGCCATGCGCTGGCAGGATCAGCTCGCCGCGTCTGGAAGCTCTGTGGAAGCGGCCATTGTTATTTGCTGCAGAATCCTTTCAGAATCTTCACGGTGCATAAGTGGGTCTTATTTGGTTTTTTTCTTGCCGCAGCTATGGAGATGATAATCCTCCGGAAACCTGCAGTGCCTCCAAACAGGGTGGGGTTTCGCTACAGTCCAGCAGTTAGTTTCTGGCATCTGCGGGTCTTTGCGAGTGTATGAGATCTGAGTGTTTTCAGTTGCATTTCTCTCCCAGTAG